ATAAGGGGTAAGGCTCACCATACCAACGAGTAATATTAAACCCAAAGTATAAGGGCTAAGGCTCACCATACCAACGAGAATATTAAACCCAAAGTATAAGGGCTAAGGCTCACCATACCAACGAGTAATATTAAACCCAAAGTATAAGGGCTAAGGCTCACCATACCATACTATACTAATTCAAGGGAAGGGAATTCAATCGTTTTGTTTACTATAAAAGTGATGTGGTTAGGTTAGGTTAGCTTAAGTTAGGTTAGGTTAGGTTTGGTTAGGTCAGGTTTGGTTAGGTTAGGTTAGGTTAGGTTAGGTTAGGTTAGGTTAGGTTTGGTTAGGTTAGGTGTCTGTTCTACCAGGAATGTCACCAAAGCTCCTCCTCAAATTCTTACAGCTAGCAGCAGCCTCAACACACACACACACACACACACACACACATGCCGTACCCTCCCATTATCTGATAACACACCTCCCTCACTTTCTGACGTAAAGGTTCGTTATTTATGCATTGTAGTGAAGTTGTGGTGGTAGGAGGAGGAGGAGGAGGAGGAGGTGGAGAAGGAGGTTAAGGAGAAGGTGGTCGAGGAGGCTAAGAAGGAGGTCGAGGAGGAGAAAGAGGTCGAGGAGGAGGAGGAGGTCGAGGAGAAGGAGAAGGAGATCGAGGAGGGAGAAAGAGGACGAGGGAGGAGGAGGGTGAGAAGGAGATCGAGGGAGGAGGAGGAGGAGGAGATCGAGGAGGAGGAGGAGGTCGAGGGAGGAGGAGGAGATCCGAGGGAGGAGGAGATCGAGGAGGAGGAGGAGAAGGAGGAGGAGGAGGAGGAGGAGGAGGGATTATGACCAAAGAATACGCCAAAGCTATTAGGGTACAACCGAGAATTTGTTTGAACTGTTTGGTTAGGTTAGGTTAGGTTATATTAGGTTAGGTTAGGTTAAATAAGGTTAGGTTTGGTTAGGTTAGATTATGTTAGGTTTGGTTAAATCAGGTTAGGTTTGGTTAGGTTGGGTTAGGTTAGGTTAAATCAGGTTAGGTTAAATTATGTTAGGTTAGGTTAAATCAGGTTAGGTTGGGTTAGGTTAGATAATATACAACAAGCATTAGAGCATTGTGACTGTAGTGAGAGGGGTGGGGAGGAGAGGGGGTGGGGAGGAGAGAGAGGGGGGTGGGGAGGGGAGAGAGAGGGGGAGTGGGGAGGGGAAGGGGGGAGGGGGAATTGGGAACACTAAGGTCAGATACAACTTGGCATAGATAACCTTAGGGGTGGGGTGGGGGAAAGTCAAGGTAAATATTCCAGTAAATTATACCTGAATGGAAAATAACGACGACACGGTGTAAACATTAAGACCACAGCTCACAATGCAACAGCCCCCACACACCCCACCCCCGTAGTAAAATAATCCAAGTGGAGAGGGAGAGAGGGAGGGACGGAGGACGGAGAGGGAGGGACGGAGGGACGGAGGGAGGGAGGGAGGGAAAAAAAATAACACACACACCAGTTAACGAGCGTAAATTAATTAGACCATAACCGCACCATTTTTAAGACAATGTTTTAAGAGATTTATTGGATGTAATAAACTAAGAAGCAACATACACAACTGAGGTTAATACTCCTTTGGGGACGATTGGTATAGATATATGTAATGTATTTTTTAAAGCAATTTACATGTATAGAAGAACCACATAAACACGTGATAAATTTTGGTCTAAACTTCAATTGTTCACCTCGATACGTTTACCAACCTGGTACATTAATAATTTAGACCAACCAGCGTAATAGATGTTCCTCACTGCGGTAAATTGAAACGCCATTACCGACCTACATTGTTGACATGTTTCTCGCCATTGGTCATTAGTACCGCTATAGTTCAGTCCTTCTTAGTACCGCTCTAGTTTAGTCTTTCTTAGTACCGCTATAGTTCAGTCTTTCTTAGTACCGCTCTAGTTTAGTCTTTCTTAGTACCGCTATAGTTCAGTCTTTCTTAGTACCGCTCTAGTTCAGTCTTTCTTAGTACCGCTATAGTTCAGTCTTTCCTAGTACCGCTCTAGTTCAGTCTTTCTTAGTACCGCTATAGTTCAGTCTTTCTTAGTACCGCTATAGTTCACTCTTTCCTAATACCGCTCTAGTTCAGTCTTTCTTAGTACCGCTATAGTTCACTCTTTCCTAATACCGCTCTAGTTCAGTCTTTCTTAGTACCGCTATAGTTGTCTTTCATAATACCGCTCTAGTTCAGTCTTTCCTAATACCGCTCTGGATTCGGTCTTTCCTAATACCGCTATAGTTCAGTCTTTCTTAGTACCGCTATAGTTCCGGTCTTTCTTAGTACCGCTATAGTTCAGTCTTTCTTAGTACCGCTATAGTTCAGTCTTTCATAATACTGTTCTAGTTCAGTCTTCTTAATACCGCTCTAGTTCAGTCTTTCTTAGTACCGCTCTAGGTCAGTCTTTCCTAATACCGCTCTAGTTCAGTCTTTCTTAGTACCGCTCTAGTTCAGTCTTTCCTAATACCGCTATAGTTCAGTCTTTCTTAGTACCGCTCTAGTTCAGTCTTTCTTAGTACCGCTATAGTTCAGTCTTTCTTAGTACCGCTATAGTTCAGTCTTTCTTAGTACCGCTCTAGTTCAGTCTTTCTTAGTACCGCTATAGTTCAGTCTTTCTTAATACCGCTCTAGTTCAGTCTTCCTAATACCGCTCTAGTTCAGTCTTCTTAATACCGCTCTAGTTCAGTCTTTCCTAATACCGTTCTAGTTCAGTCTTCTTAATACCGCTCTAGTTCAGTCTTCTTAATACCGCTCTAGTTCAGTCTTTCCTAATACCGCTCTAGTTCAGTCTTCTTAATACCGCTCTAGTTCAGTCTTCTTAATACCGCTCTAGTTCAGTCTTTCAGAATACCGCCTAGTTCAGTCTTTCTTATACCGCTCTAGTTCAGTCTTTTTAATACCGCTCTAGTTCAGTCTTCTTAATACCGCTCTAGTTCAGTCTTTCCTAATACCGCTCTAGTCAGGTCTTCATAATACCGCTCTAGTTCAGTCTTTCTTAATACCGCTCTAGTTCAGTCTTTCTTAATACTGCTCTAGTTCAGTCTTTCCTAATACCGCTCTAGTTCAGTCTTCTTAATACCGCTCTAGTTCAGTCTTCTTATCACTGCTCTAGTTCAGTCCTTCCTAATACCGCTCTAGTTCAGTCTTCATACCGCCTCTAGTCCGGTCTTTCCTAATACTGCTCTAGTTCAGTCTCTTTCTCTTAATACTGCTCTAGTTCAGTCTTTCCTAATAACGCTCTAGTTCAGTCTTCTACTGCTCTAGTTCAGTCTTCTTAATCGCTCTAGTTCAGTCTTTCCTAATACCGCTCTAGTTCAGTCTTCTTAATACCGCTCTAGTTCAGTCTTCTTAGTACGCCCAGTCAGTCTTTCATAATACCGTTTAGTTCAGTCTTCTTAATACTGCTCTAGTTCAGTCTTCCTAATACCGCTTTAGTTCAGTCTTCTATACCGCTCTAGTTCAGTCTTCTAATACCGCTCTAGTTCAGTCTTCTTAGTACCGCTCTAGTCTGGTCTTTCCTAATACTGCTCTAGTTCAGTTTTTTCAATACTGCTCTAGTTCAGTCTTCTTAATACCGCCTAGTTCAGTCTTTCCTAATACCGCTCTAGTTCAGTCTTCTTCCAATACTGCCTTAGTTCAGTCTTCTTAATACTGCTCTAGTTCGATCTTCTTAATACCGCTCTAGTTCAGTCTTTCTATCACCGTTCTAGTTCAGCCTTCTTACCACGGCTCTAGTTCAGTCTCCTCTAATACCGTTCTAGTTCAGTCTTCTTTAATTGTTCTAGTTCAGTCTTCTTAATACCGTTCTACTAGCCTTCCTATCACTGCTCTAGTTCAGTCTTCTTATCACCGCTCTAGTTCAGTCTTCTCCTATTACCGCTCTAGTTCAGTCTTCCATCACCATTTTAGTTCAGTCTTCTTAATACCGCTCTAGTTCAGTCTTTCAATGCCGCCTAGTTCAGTCTTCTTAATACCGCCTTAGTTCAGCCTTCTTAATACCGCCTAGTTCAGTCTCCTAATACCGTTCTAGTTCAGTCTTCTTAATACCGTTCTAGTTCAGTCTTCTTATCACTGTTCTAGTTCAGCCTCCTATCACCCCGTCTCTAGTTCAGCTCTTACCGTCTATGTCTCCATTCGCTCTAGTTCAGTCTTCATACCGCCTCCAGTCTTCTTCATACCGTTCTAGTTCAGTCTTCTTAATACCGCTCTAGTTCAGTCTTAATACCTGCTCAGGTTCAGCCCTTAATACCGTTCTAGTTCAGTCTCTTAATACTGCTCTAGTTCAGTCTTCTATCACCCTCTAGTTCAGCTTCCATACCGTTCTAGTTCAGTCTTCTTAATACCGCTCTAGTTCAGTCTTCATCACCGTTCTAGTTCAGTCTTCTTAATACCGCCTAGTTCAGTCTTCTTAATACCGCTCTCAGTTCAGTCTTCCTAATACTGCCTAGTTCAGTCTTCTTAATACCGCTCTAGTTCAGTCTTCCTAATACCGCTCTAGTTCAGTCTTCTTACCGCTCTAGTTCAGTCTTCCTAATACCGCTCTAGTTCAGTCTTCCTAATACCGCTCTAGTTCAGTCTTCCTAATACCGCTCTAGTTCAGTCTTCTTAATACCGCTCTAGTTCAGTCTTTCTCTTCTTAATCCCAACGTTATTGTCATCATCATGTGATACAAATAAGAAAATAAAGCCTGACACGTTTACAATTACGATACTTGAGGGAGATTTCAACACACTGTGGAGACCTATCTAAGGCATGTAACGGGCGAACTACCCTATTGAAGTATGAACGTTTATAACTATATAAATACATGATTCCTTATAGGTATACATAGATAGAACAGGTAGAACACATGTATATCATAAGAGTAATGATGGAAGGAGGGAGTAGAGTGTAATGTGAAGTTGGTTGTAATAATAACAGCAAGAGGGAGGGTGAAGTAGAGGTGTACACACTGTATTAATAATCTTACCTCGTCCTGCCAGCCTGGTCCAATTACCGTAACCCTTATGTCCTTTACTGTCAAACGTCGGTGGCGGTGAGCGCGGCCTCCACACACCTTACACTCAAGTAGTACCTCCAAGCCGAGTGTCAGTGGTGGCAACATTCATCACACATCACATCACAGTAAAGTCCTAGCCGCTCCACATCCCCACTTGCTTCCCGAGATGTGCTGCAACCCTTTCACGCACTACCATGCATATTCCTCCCTTTTCCAGCACACATCACGCCACTCTGCTTCTTTTTTTTTTTTAGGTATTATTTAATTACTTCCAAGCTCTCACGGTAGACTTTGTATCACTAGACGAGAGCCGTGGCCAGCGCCGGTACTACACACCGCACCCACTATCTATCTACACTTGCACAAGAAACAAAGAAAAGTTGAGAAGTTGCGGTGGGGCTTCACTGGCAAGGCTCAGGGACGGCCTGGGGCGCATATTTCATTAAAGTACCTAGCCTTCTCTCTCGCTCACATCTTGCAGCCACGGACCCTCCCAGCCAACATCACTACACTTCTATCCCTTCATACTGGGCGCTGCTCCTCACACGTCACTTGCCTTCACTTCGTACCAGACCGCGACACTTTCACGTGTTGATCGCGCCGCCATACACGCTTTATCACTGCACATAACTCGTACAAAATACTAGAAAAATAAAAGTTTCCATGCACCACGCACGCACCAAGCCTTTGCTCCGACTCTCAGATCGCTGCTAGACATCGCCACACTACAGCTTGGGACGAGCACGCCAGTGTATACCGAGGCTTTTGGGAGTTTTTTCTCATTGTCAGACGCTGATACTTGGTCTGATTACACAAACTTTCTATATAAATAGATAATATTTGTTACTGTACAGTTTTATAACGAGATAATACGTTTTTAAATAATTGTGCCTTGGGTGATCTTGAGGAGGTAGAGGGGCTGCGGACGAGAGACAGATGGGTTATAGGGTGAGGGGGGTGACGCACCTGAGTCGGCTGTAAGCACTGGCAGAAGAACCAGCAGGTGCAATCACTCCCTCCCTCTCGTACCAATCACGCCCAAAATCCACCACTCGCACACCCGTTCATGGAGAAATCACCAAATTATTGATGTTGACGGTACATGCAGGGGTAAAGCATGGAAGACTGACCTAGCGGGATTATTTATGTGTAAGGTCAGTCGGGTTCAAGCATCTTGGTTCTGAGTTCCCATTCTCCCCCGAGCCGGTAGGTGGGTGAGGTGCGTTTTCTGTGCGTCCACCCCAGAACTTACCACAAAGGCGAATGACTGCTTATATTAACACGGTCACACGGTGGTAATGATCCCCCCCCCACACACACCTGGTTAGCCTCGTAACAAATAAACCAATCCCCTCGTTTAAGGCCATTACCCATTGTCAGCTTTCCGTGAGAAGTAAATAATTATCGATCAATGATTTTTACACATAATTTCCTTTAAACACCTCAGTTCCTTTTATCAACATGAAATCTATCAATACATAGATTTATATTATTTAGTAGAGTAAGTACCTCACGTCATTAATATAAAGCATAATAAGCTTAGAAAATAATTAAAGCACGAATATTTGGGTCAAAGATTAAAAATGAGAGATTCCTCTGCCAACCTCCACCCCTCCTGTGACAGCTTAGAGAAGGGGGGAGGGGAAGGAGGTAGGGAGGGGAGGGGAGGGGGAGGGGGGTGGAAGTGGCCACGAGTCGCGACAAGTTGACAGTTTAGTCCACCTGGTAGTGACGTCACGCACCCCAGCCATTGACGTCACGCACCTCAGCCATTGACGTCACGCACCTCAGCCATTGACGTCACGCACCCAGTCGGCTAACATCACGCACCTCAGCCATTAACGCCACACCCTTATTGACGTCACGCACCCCAGCCATTGACGTCACGCACCCCAGCCATTGACGTCACGCACCCCAGTCATTAACGTCACGCACCTCAGCCATTGACGTCACGCACCCCAGCCATTGACGTCACGCACCCCAGTCATTGACGTCACGCCTCCAGCTGCTAACGTCACGGTTATGCCAAAAGAACAGCGGTGGACATGACTTTTTACCCGATCTATTTATTCGTCATTTTGTTCTGACTATGAAATAAAAGATACAGACAGGTTGTATGTGCCAGACAGAGAAGACAGACAGACAGACAGACAGACAGACAGAGAAGACAGACAGACAGACAGACAGAGAAGACAGACAGACAGACAGGCAGAGACAAACAAACATACAGACAGACATAGAAACAGAAAGATAAAGACAGACATGTTAAGTGACGGTGAGAGATAGAGAGGGGCACAGACAGACAGAAACACAGAGATAAAGAAAGAAAAGAGACAAAGAGAAAACGAAAGAGAGAGAGAGAGAGAGAGAGAGACACAACATTCACCCTATCTTATACTTTCCTCCATACTTGTTTTTCCCTCAACATTATTACGCCTTCCACTTTCCCTATCTTCATTTCTCCTCCCCTTCTCTTTCTTCGACCATCCGTTATTCTTCTCCTTCTCCTCTATCTTCTCTATCTTTCTCCTCACCTCTTCTCCTTTCCGTCCCTCTTCATTCTACTTTCATTTGGTTTTTAGTTTCGATTCGTCTTTGTTTATCATTTGCTATTTTTCACTCACACACACACACACACACACACACACACACACACACACACACACACACACACACACACACACACACACACACACACACACACACACACACACACACACACACACACCGCACACACACACACACACACACACACACACACACACACACACACACACACACACGCACGCACACACACACACACACACACACACACACACACACACACACACACACACACACACACACACACACGCACGCACACACACACACACACACACACACACACACACACACACACACACACACACACACACACACACACGCACGCACACACACACACACACACACACACACACACGCAATTTAGTTTATGATCTAGAGAGGTTCTCTTATTCGGAGTATTAAAACACGAGAAAATTAAACGTATGTATGTATGTATGTGGATGTGTTTGTGTCGCTGTGTGTGTGTGTGTGTGCTCAATACACTTCAGTAACATCCTACCTTCATCACTGAAAGATTCTGACTGATTTATCTATTATTATTAAATATTATTATTGTTATCATCATCATCAAATAGCGTAGTGTGTCCTCGTTTCATGGTAAACTATGGTAGATTAAAGTCATTAACTACAAAGTAAATCTTAATGCTGATGGCTGTAATGTTCATTCAAGAGGTAGGCAGGTCTAAGACGCCTCAGCCGTGTAGTACACCGTGTATCAAGGCACTATAGGTTCTCTCCGACACATGTTGACAGTGTTGTAGTTTTCACTTCATATATACGGAAGAACATAATCAGCGACCTCAATGGAGACGGTAAATTTTGTATTTTTTTTACATTCCTGTGTAGACCAGAAGTGAAACTTGAGGCGGCCGTCCAGGTGGAGGTTGATAATGAACACTCAGGTGCCGCCTCCTCGGTAAACACCCTGGTACTCATCCGTCTACATAACCAGCCCATCCACCTAAGATACAAACCCCCGAATTCCTGATTAATATCCATTTGTAGTCTTATTGTTTGTTGTTGTTTTTCTCTCTTGGCGGGTTTAAGTCCGCGGCAGACGGGAGCGTTTCTCACACGCCCAGGGTACAGAACCAGTGTACCTGCCAGGGACCGGGTTCCTGCCCTCCCGCTGTGCTCACAGTCCTTGACAGAATGCGGAATGTCATGCCAATCATTAATACACTGTATCTCAGTATCGTCAGGATGGCTGGTGGGTGCAACGGAGATTATTCCTTCTCGCAGGGTCGTCTCCAGTGACCGCTGCCCCATCCTGACTCTACCCCACTTATCCTTGCCACAGCTGAAAACCTAACCATCCTCAGAATACCCAGAGTGACAGGTGACTGGTCAAGCAGGCCTTAATCCTAACAGGACCCCAGCTTAGTTAAGCCTTTGGGGTGACGTCACTTGCTCTAACCAATCATAGCCTGGCTAACGGATGTACACATGACCTGCGGCTGTTTGTGTAGGTCAGTAAAATGACAATACCTCAACCTCTCCTCCACCCTATAGTCACCTTACTGTAAGTATGAAACCCCTATCCTACCTCAAAACCCATGTGTACATACGGAAACTCGCTAAACACTTGTGAATTATTCCCATAAACACACACACACACACAATCTTTTTAGTTTATCCTCCAGTTACACATCACATTAGGTCAACCTTGGTCAAAAGACAAGGTCACGCTAACCCTCGAAGCGAGAGCATCACTGACGAGGACTAACTCAGCTTACTAATGACACCACTAAGTTATCGCTCTCTGTATTTCTTGACTTTGGGTTCAACATATCGTACCGCATTTATGGTATATATTTTTATCTCCTTTTTCAGCGCTGCCAGACCTCGGGGTCAGGTCTTTTCTTCCACTCTCGTAAAAGGCACCTCACTCTACGCTCAACAATTTGTTAAAAGTGACTCTCATTTTTCCGGTTTGTGATGTTAAAGAGTTTCAGAGCTGGTCCGGGAACATAACACCCACCAATTAAACCTTCATGGTATAGAGTTCACAGTAAGGTGAATATAACAGACCAAGATTCTTAAAGGTTCGCACGTTTAATATTACTCGTAACTGAAGATGGAGGAATGTAATTAGCTTTATAACCTAACCTAACCTAACACATGCATTAACTAACCTAATCTAACCTAACCTAACACATGCATTAACTAACCTAATCTAACCTAACCTAACACATGCATTAACTAACCTAATCTAACCTAACCTAACCTAACACATGCATTAACTAACCTAACCTAACCTAACCTAACCTAACACATGCATTAACTAACCTAACCTAACCTAACCTAACACATGCATTAACTAACCTAACCTAACCTAACCTAACACATGCATTAACTAACCTAACCTAACCTAACCTAACACATGCATTAACTAGATATATTTACTTAGCAACAGTTCGAATGCATAATAGGCGTAAGGTAATTATTCCCTATAACTGTTCATTAATGTTATCACCTAACTGGAGAACGTATCTAGTTAAGGTAGCGCCTCAGTTTAATTTCGATGTAATTTTCACTGTTATTTCTTTACTCTTACATACACTCTTAACACACTGATACTCTTACATACACTCTTAACACACTGATACTCTCTTACATACACTCTTAACACACTGATACTCTCTTACATACACTCTTAACACACTGATACTCTCTTACATACCTGTAACCCCCTTTTTGATACTCTCTTACATACACTCTTAACACACTGACACTCTCTTACATACACTCTTAACACACTGATACTCTCTTACATACACTCTTAACACAATGACACTCTCTTACATACACTCTTAACACACTGATACTCTTACATACACTCTTAACACACTGATACTCTCTTACAAACACTCTTAACACACTGACACTCTCTTACATACACTCTTAACACACTGACACTCTCTTACATACACTCTTAACACACTGATACTCTTACATACACTCTTAACACACTGATACTCTCTTACATACACTCTTAACACACTGACACTCTCTTACATACACTCTTAACACACTGATACTCTTACATACACTCTTAACACACTGACACTCTCTTACATACACTCTTAACACACTGATACTCTTACATACACTCTTAACACACTGATACTCTTACATACACTCTTAACACACTGATACTCTCTTACATACACTCTTAACACACTGACACTCTCTTACATACACTCTTAACACACTGAT